TTCGGCCAAGTTTCATTCCATCCATTAAATCCGGTGAACCCAAGTTCTGCTTGCTCCACCAATGATAGTGACCTTCGAACCCACCTCAACGAAACCCAGTTCAATCATCATGTTCATGTAAGCTTCATTGCTTGATAAGCGCTGAATACTGTATATTCAAGCGCCCTAAATTACATTAACAAAGTCCATTAATTGATTATTTTATGTAGATTAACTCCATTTGCATGTTTTTGTACATTTTCAGGTTAAAGTGCAAAAAGGAAGCAAAAATGATGCCTTGTGGAATTTTGAACAAAAAGGGTGCCAATTCTGAATTTCTGGCAGCAGTAGAACCTGACTTTTGTCGCCATTTTCGACCTAGCAAACTCAAGAACTGGACTTCCATCATAACATGAAAGATTTAGAACTCTGAATCAACTTTCCAAATCTTCAAGCGGTTCATTATTCGGAGTTCGGAGCAGAGAGTTATGATCTTCTTAACAGAGGTGCACAGAACTGCCTGGCAGCACTGAAGTACTGCCTTTCTCCCCATTTTCGACCAACCAGACTTGAGAATTGGGTCTTCATTAAAACATGAAGTTTTTAAAGCACTGAATCAGCTCTCCAAATCTTCAAACAGATCATGATTCAGAGTTCGGAGCACAAAGTTATAGCCGTTTTACCAAAGTAGGTCAGTGCTGAGCAAGAAGAGCATGTTGCACATTACACTAATTTAGAGTGCTCGAGACCACCCTTTGAGTGCTCGAAATTCTGGCAGATTGCACTCGGAAATGGCTCAATTTCAGCCACTTACACATTGGTTTCCTCAATGCCATCTTCCTTCTTTATGAAGTGGTTGGAGGTGTTCCTTGGAGGAGAGAGAGCCTTGACTTGAGCTTGATAAGAGAAAGGGAGGCCACACATTTGATATTATCATATATTCTAGCAAGATAGAGGAGAGAGAAGGGAGGAAGAAAGAGGTGTTCTTCAAGCTCCAAAGAGGTGCACGAAAATGGAGATGAGGATGATGCTTCTTCCTTCTTCTAGCTCACCAATGGGCAACTAAACCTCATCTAGGGAGGTGATGAAACCCCTCCCTTGTAAGCATGTGTTAGTATAGTTTATTTTTGGGGATTACAATGTATTTTTGATAGTCTTTCCATGATCAAGAGCCTCATTTTTGTTGTAATGAATGTTGAATGTTTATAAATGATTATTGTGAGTTATTCATCTTGTCTTGGATGGTTACTTTTCTTAATCATATTGCTTGCACTTCCATGGTGACAATGGAAGTTAGATCATGGAATGGTTTTAATGGCATGGAGTTGGAGAACCTAGATAGTTCATGGCTTAGGGTTTCCCTTTGATGGTCTATACTTGATTCTTAGCTTTATGTGCATTCACCATTTAAATTAGGGCTTGATAATCCTTGACTTAGTAAGCATGTTCTAAGCTACATTTTAGTTTAGGTAGTTGATCATGTGAACCTTTGATGGTTTATTCTTGCCTTTCTATTTGAATGAACTTCTTGAGGATATTATAGCAACCTAGTATTGTTATGTATCATGACTATCATATATGTTGTTTTTCCCTTAAATTAATGTTAACCTAGCATGTGTATAGGGATGGAGGTGGATTCATTTCCCTAGCCTTCTTTACTTGTACTTCACTCCCTTGAATTCTTGTAATTTATTGTTTTATGCACTTTTAATTCCCTAGCTTAAGTGACATCCAACAAAACCTCTATAAACCCTTCATCATTCTAAGAATGATTCTAGACATTTAGGTTGTATTAGACTAGCGCAGTCCCAGTGGTTCGACTTACCCGACCAATAGCCCTATTTTACAATGATTCGTGCTATTGCGAAGGTTGATGTTTAATTGACCAACCGATCATTGCTCTACCTAGTCGGTGACCCATCATCGAAGATTCAACAATTTTGACGAGCTAAATTTAGAGACCCATCTCGTCTGGAGTTGCATCGAAGGCCGGTGAGCTCCAAGCAACAAGAACAATTCCGGTGACAGAACTGTAAACTCCACAAACTGCATTTTCCACCATTGAGCTTCAACTACCAAACCAAGAAGCTCACAATGAACAACCCGAATTCTGGCGAACCCAGTTCAGTCTGACAAGCTTCACATTCACTCAATTTAGCGTGCTCCAACTTAGCTTCGTCTACATTAACAATAGAGAGAATGAAATCGATAACGTCCACGCAAGGTCCCCCATCTGCATGCACTATCACTGGTGACCCAACTAGTGAGCCTCAAAGATGAACCAACAGTGTTCTTCATTGAAGAATCATTCTAGCCGGAGTTATATATGAGACCCATTTCTGACGTACTCCACTTCAGATCAGCGAGCTGCACTCAAAGACTCAACAATTTTAATGATTTTCAGTTAGACCCTAAAATTGCTTCAACACCATTAGCTCCGACGAGCTTCGTTCAACAATTCAGCAAACTTCAGTCATGAATTGTAGTGACCCAAAAGCTTCAATTTGATGACAATCACTTCGGTGAGCTTCAATCGTAGCATTTAATCATTTCTTCTTCACGAAATTGACGATAATCGAAGCCTTTATCAGCAATGAGATTTTTATTAACCTTGTACTCTTGATTAGGCCAATAGTTTCCCTCATGGTTGTCTTCATCATTTATCAATGATAGAATCCGATCATCAAGTTCTACTCCTTGATTTGAATAAGGAAATTGGACATTTTAAGCTATAATTTCATTTTTTATGCCACATGGGTCAAAGACAAGGCTTCCCATTATATAGTAAAGCATTCTAGGACTATTGTTTTGTTTGACTGGGTTAGCCCATCTTTGTCTGAAGGAGAAGACGAAACACTGTAGGAAGAAGTTAAGTACTGGGGTAAATCCAAGTTAACTAATTACAATAAGAAGATTAAAGAAATTCAAGAGAAATTGGCTACTATGGATCCTCATAGTGTCTTTTTATAGAGTTTTCTTTAACCTTAACCATCAGCACCTTGTTAGTTTCTCTCACAAACAAAGCTCAAAGTTGCTATAGAGAGAGAAAATGGGTTGTAAAGAGAAATTTTGAGGGAGATAGCACTGGACAACGGTCATTTTACATCGCCTACATTTGTATATATTAATTTATTTTACTGATATGAGGGCATTATAGTCATTTTAAGTCTTAAGGGGGGTATTTGCACCAAATCAATAGTATAGGAGGATTTTATACTACACAGAAACTTTTTTGCACTATATCGATAGTAGAGGGGTTTTTTTTGCACTTAACCCTATGTAATACATATATTTCTAATATATACAATATACTATATAGCAATGAGGGCTTGATGGCTTATGCAATTGATGGATGTTGAAGGCTCGGCTGGTGAGAACTTATGCATATACATAGTTCAATACAAGAGTGATGTATATATATGTACAGAGAGGGGTGTAGATTGACCCAGAGAGGAATTGGATTTTTGTTCTTATTCTTTTTATTTCACTAAATATTTGGATCTTTCTTGATAGATGATTCAGCCATTGAGGGTTCAAATTGCAGAGCATGCGATTACCTCATTCTATTGAAGATAGAAATAGGAAAATGGGTTTTAAATGGGTCAACCTATTCATAACAGGTCGTGAAGGCTAAAATTGTCTAATAAAAAAAATGAGATTGTCAAGTAACTTTTATCCGTTAGTAATTCAATGGATGATTAACGGAGTGGGATTTTTTTTGCAACAAATGGAATAGATGAGGGAGTTGAGTGTCAAAATGATAATTCAAGGGGATTTCTTGAGGAGAAGAAATTTTAAGGGAGTTTAATGCACCTAACCCTATTTTTTTTAATTTTTTATTAGGTCATGGGCCCATGACATTTGAATTGAATGTTATGACATACTCGATTTAGATAGAGTGAAATAGGAACAAGAGGTGAAAGCATATAAATTATGGGCTGTAACTTGGGCGAGCTAACCCAGCCCAACTCGAAATTTTGAAATTTGGACTTTAAGTTTACAAATTGGGTTCATGTTCGGGTTGGGTTTTGTCAAAACCCAGACATATTCAAGTTTGACTCAATCCGAACCCAACCCAAAACCTAAAATAAAAAATAAAAATTTCATATTTTTTTTCTCCTCTCTCCTCTCTCCTCTCTCCTCTCTCTACTTCTTTCTCTCTCTCTACCACCGGCCCCATACATTCAAGTTAGCAATTGCAAAGAGAGGAAGGCAAGCTTGAGAGTTGAGAGACAGCGCCTGAAGCTTACGAATGGTGAACGGCGAACCCGGATTGAAACAGCGGGCGATGAAAACTGTAAGATCTGGGTTTTGATTTTTTGAACAATCTGAAATGATATGCCGATATGGGTTTTAAACTTTTGATTCTTGCAGACAGATAGATAAAACTGAAATATATGAGTTTTGCAGTTCTGATTCTTATAGATTTTGTAGTTTGCAGTTGTTGCAGAGAGAGAGAGAGAGAGAGAGAGAGAGAGAGGAGGGGAAGCTCTGAGAGAGGCGATTGGGGAGGCTAAAATGATTTGCTCTAAATAAAATATATAATATATATATATATATATATATATATATATATATATATATATATATAACTTGTCTTTTAATAATAATATAATCAAATATATATAATATATATATAAATTTCCAAATATATATATATATATATATATATATATATAATAAATAAAAATAAAAATAAAAAAAATCTCAACCCGTCAACCCGACCCTATCCGCCCGAAAATAGTCAGGCTGAGTTATGAGCATAACCCATATTGGGTACAATTCGAGCTAGCCCAACCCAACCCGATTCGAGTTGTGGTTGGGTTGGGACTGGGCTAGGTTGGACCAGCCCAACTTGGAGCCCTAATATAAATAGGCAAACAAATCACTCCAACCATAAAAGGATATGGCAACTGCATTCTGCTACACGGTTGATTTGATCCACCCAAAAAATGAACTCTGGTGTTATTTATAATTTAGCATCACAATGCCAACATTTCAAGACTCCTGACAATAGTATATTTTTATCAACTATTGGCATCTTCCTTGCCAGTATATATAATATAATGTACAATAAAATTGAATGTTCAGAGTTACGAAGCCAATAAGCAATGAATTCAGTCTAATGAAACAATTACAAAATCAGCATTATGTATTACAAGCTAGAAATTTGATCAGAGCCCACATCCGAATGAATGCTGGAGCTATCTAGATGGAATTCAAATGATTCCGCTAACTCAACAGCATCTTGAACTTTAAGTCGGGTACCCTGTTGCCCAACAACTACAGCTGCAACCCTAGCTGCTAATGTACCCATGCTTTTCAAATCTGACACACCCCGTAAAATACCATACAAGATGCCTGATGCATACGCATCTCCAGCCCCACAGGTGTCCACTGGTACACACGGTGAAGGAGGGATATACACAGCTTCCCCTTTAACACCAATGTAAGAACCACGTGGCCCATCTGTGACCGAGACTAGGGGAACAAAGTGGCTTAGGTACCGTGCAGCAGAAATGGGGCTTTCCTTTGAGGAAAAATGACAGAAAGCTTTTGCTTCGTCACTGTTAGTAAACACAATGTCGGCATAGTTCCCCATAATCTCCCTGAATAAAAAAATATATAAATTCCAAATGATCATGACAAAAAAAAAGAGAAACCAAGAGGACCATAGTACAACAAGTAGCATAAGTAAATTTGGAAATTGCTGCAATTAGAACCCCCATTTCCAAAAAAAAAATCCTTGAAAGCAAAGAATGAACTATTAAAATGATTAAATATGGAACCATTAGGTCGGGACTAATATGCACTTGTGTACTATAGTAGTTTTATGAAACTGTTCAAAGTAAGATCTTTGGAGTTGTTTGTAGATGCTACAGCAATCAGGGTTGAAACATTAAAGACATCTTCCGCCAGAACTTAGAAAACAAATTTAGCATTTAGGTAATCCAAGGGGAAAAGAACATCTCCTATCCTCACTTAGAAGTATCACATTGAGAGTTGAGAGAAGTGAAAGTTCTCAAATCAATTTTATAGCTCCCAAGGATCCATCTGGTTCTACAGAAAAAAATTTCCTAGCTGAAATTAACTTCCTTTAGTATGCACTATCACGACTGCATATTACTAAAATTTCCCTGGTAAACCCCATTCTGATGACTTGCTGCTATACCCAGCCATAGTATCTATAAGGGCAAGACAACAAATGGTGCCGTTGCAAATTTAAATTATAGGATGGTATTAAATGTCAAAACGTAAAATCTAAGCACCCTTCAAATGAAGAGAACATAATAATATTAAATTAACAAAGCCAGTGAAGTTGAAGATTTACCAGAAGTCATCATAATGTTTCTCGATGCAGGAGACATCTGAAGCTGTGACAGCAACCAGAGCACCACTCCTGTGGGCATCCTCGCACGCCTTTGTAATTGTTCTGATCGTATCAGGAAATTCGAATAAATACCCTTCAACAACTAATATATTTGTTTTGGAAATTATGCTAGCCAAGCAGGGATCGTAGTTAACAGTGGAAGAAGTACCCTGACATAAAAATAAATAAAAAATAGGAAAACCATATTAGTGTGTCATGCTATTTACCTAATGCATCACATGGCTAGTCAAAACCAAATAAAGACATGTAAAATTTTCTCAAGGGGCTAACTTCATATGAGAACTTTCAAGTGTTCTGGGAGTTCTCTAAGAATACAAATAACAGAGAGAGAAGAACTAGTTCAGCAGAAAAACAGAATGAAGCCCAAACATTTAATAAGTTTGCTGTAATAATATTAATTATTTATAAATTAGATTGTAACTGAGATCAGTTATTAAGCAAATGGAAGGTTACTCCGCACAGAAAAGATAAGCAAAAATAAGCTAACACATTAGTATCCCCCAGCAATTTGAAACAAGACAAGGGATTAAATTTAAATTTTTACCTTTTACATTGATCGGGACCAAACAAAAAGTGAGAGTTGCTTCTTTGTCTTCACTATCATCGTACATATGTGGATATTCTAAAAACTATGCCTGATTCTCTTTTTATGCAGGATTTCCTATTGCTTTTTCTATAAATAATAATGATAGTGAATTTTTCAAGCCCAACAACTTCATACCTATTTCCTGCAGTTCTTAATAACTAAAATCTCATTGGTATGATTTGATTTGCATTCATCTCCTTTTCAGATCATACATAGAAAGAAATCATTTTCTCTTTTTCCCCTGAAAATTGTAACATCCAAAAAAAATTAAAAATAAGGAGTAAGTAATAGCATAAATCACATGATTTTATACCAGGCAACATACATGTATCCCTTCTACAACTGGTTGAACTTGAGGAACCAACATATGCTTCTAACAAAAAATCATGCATTAGTATTAACTTCATTTAGACATTTACTACTATGCTGAGTAGATTTGATAACCCAAATTCGTTTCCAGAAGTGTTTAACTGCACCAAAGAACTTGATTACAAGATTCCTTACTGAAAAGGGCCGAATCAGCCTTGGGCCCCAACGTAACTGAGAAAGGGCCATCCTAAAGCCAATTGTATTGAAAAAGCCACCAGGCCCAAAAACCCAGTAAATAACAGACTGGACCGGCCCAAAAGAAAGGCACGACCCACCAGCATAGGAACTTGGAGATCACGTTTCCAAGATAGGGAAATGAGAAGAAAAAGAAGAGTGGAAAGGCGGTTCAATCAATAGAAAGCAAATTTTCTTGTACCTACATCTGGCGCCATTGTGGGAAACGAGGGAGAGATCCATCGATTTCCACACTGAAATATGACTCAGCTCCAATCGGGAACCATGATCGGAGAAGGAAGCTCGCATCAACAGAACGAGAACAAGTGAACCAGGCATCATCCAGGATGGAACGAAGGGATGTGCCTGAAGATTTTTAGAGATAAAGAAATAGGAATAATTCTCCGTGTTTATTCTTTTCCTTGTGGAGGATTTAAATAGGACACAAATAATTACAAAGAAGGAAAGAAATAATTACAAAGAAGGAAGAATTAAAGACTAAAAATCAGCTCCTATAAGAATGCTAATCAGGGACCTAATCAGCACATGTACAGCTAATTATCTATATATGTTGATATAGTCAACAATAAAGCTAATTATCTATATATGTCAACACTCCCCCTCAAGCTTGAGAATAGACGTCCTGGATTCTCAGCTTGGCAAGAGCATAATTGAACACTTTACTAGAGTCTCCGTTAGTTAAAATATCAGCATGTTGATCCTTGGTCCTCACATAGGGAGTGCAAATCACACCTTCTGTCAACTTCTCTTTAATAAAGTGCCTGTCAATCTCAACATGTTTAGTCCGATCATGTTGCACAGGATATTGAGCAATGCTGATGGCCGCCTTATTATCAATATAGCTTCATGGGACTTTGACAAGCAATCCTCAATTCTCCCAATAGGATCTTCAACCATAATAATTCACACACACCGTGAGCCTTAGCTCTAAATTCAGCCTCGGCACTAGACCTGGCCACAACCGATTGCTTCTTACTCCGCTAAGCAACTAGATTGCCACCCACAAATGCGTCATATCCCGTAGTTGATTTTCGATCCGAAATAGAACCTGCCCAATCAGCATCTGTATAGGCCTCTACTGCAGAGTGATAATGTTTTGAAAACAGAAGACCCTTACCCGGTGTTGATTTCAAGTATTCAAGTATCCTCTCTACTGCCTGCATATGAACTTCATGTGGCTCGTGCATGAATTGACTGACAACACTCACTGCATAGCCTATTATTGGGTCGTGTATGAGACAAATATATTAGTTTTCCAACCAACCTCTGATATCTCTCTGTCAACTGGTGTATCATGTTCACCCAATCTATGATTCTGTTTTATAGGAGTATCCAAAGGCTTGCAGACTAACATCCCTGTCTCCGTTAAGAGATCAAGTACATACTTTCTCTGTGAAACAAAGATTCCCTGCTTTGAACGAGCCACTTCAATACCTAGAAAATACTGTAGGACACCCAAGTCTTTAATTTCAAATTCCTTGGCCAAATGTACCTTTAGTCTCTAAATCTCCTCGGTATCATCCCCGGTGATGATGATATCGTCCACATAGACAATAACAACTGTAATTCTACCTCCCGAGAGTGTCAAAGGAATAACGTATGATCTGCTTGACTAAGATGATATCCATACTTCTGCATAGCTTGTGCAAATCTACCAAACCATGCTCTAGGCAACTATTTCAGACCATATAATGATTTTCTTAGGGCTTGTTTACTAAAAGGAATAATTCCTGTTTTCTACTGCCAATTCCTAAAATGTAAAGTAAAAAATAAAAATCATGTTTATTAATTTAATTTTACTTTCCATCTTTTTGGAAGTACTTCTACAATTAATGAAGGAAGGAGAAAGTGAGGATTTGTTACTTTCTCTACTTCCTACATTGTACACAAAAAATACTTTATGTTACTATAGCATTCATTCATGATTCACCTATCATCCTTGTATCACCCATTCTCACCTGACCATCACCCATCATCATCTCATCCCACCCATCGGCGACAATGGAAGACACCACCCACCAGTGACAACGGAAGACACCACCAACCAGACTTTCTATCAATACTGCTCTCTCTCTCTATCTGGACGAAGACAAGACGATGCCGACGAATTTCAGACCACCGGAATCAGAGTCTTTCTCTTTCTCTCAACCACTATAACTTGGAGTCTTTGAATTGCAATCCATTGTGTTTGCAATCGTTTGTAGCAGCTTTGTTTGAGTTTGGGTTTTCTTGGTTTTTTGTTGGGTCTTTTCTCTCTTTTTAAAACTCACTCATTTTCATATCTCTCTCTATAATCACTATAATCAAACCCAGATTAAACTTTTTTTTAGAGAGGGAAACCCAATTTGGGCATCGGAGAGAGAGACCCAAATTCGCATCCACAAACAATTCATACTCCAAAGTTCTATTCCCAATCAGTTGGTCCGTGGATTCTTGCATCGGAGAGGGAGACCCAAATTCGAGGCTTTAGTTTCCATGGATTCCGGCATCGGGGCACACAGTATATAGAGAGAGATTGACGAGGCTGAGGTCCACGATCCGGCATCGGGAGAGAGATGGTTCACTAAGAGAAGATACAGAGGTAAATTCAACCAGAATCGCACCTATATACAAATGTGTGTGTGTACATATATATGTATATATATATAGATGTTTGATGGGTTTGTTGGTTTTCTTTTCTTGCTGTTGGTATGTTCTTTGGTAAGAATTGCAGAGAAGGATATTTGCAGAGAATAAGATGGGTTTTGGTAAGCAATTTTTGCAAAATCAAAATCATAATTACTGAACTTGATTCCTAATTTTTTACTTTCAAAATATTGAAAGCATAAAATATTATTGATCATGATTCTACTTGGTATTTCAACTTCAGAAATGAAAATTATGATTTTACTTTAGGAGAAAGTAAAAATAAGAAAGCGAAAGCGTTAGTGAACAAGCCCTTAGCCTGCATCCTTCCCCTTATTGGTACTTTCGTCACTACCTGGAGGAAGGTCCATGTACACTTCCTCCTCTAGATTTCCATGGAAGAAAGCATTCTTAACATCAAATTGTTGGAGAGTCCACTCTAGGTTAGCTGTTAAAGATAGCAAAACCAGAATAGTATTCATTTTCGCAACTAGAGCAAACGTCTCCCGATAGTCAATGCCATATGTCTGAGTATAGCCTTTTGCCACTAATCTTGCCTTGTATCGGTCAATCAACCCATCTGCCTTATGCTTCACGGTAAACACCCATTTGCAGCCAACAGTTTTCTTCTCTTTCGCCAACTCCACTAACTCCCACGTAGAGTTTTTTCGGAGAGCTCTCAATTCTTCAGCCATCGCCTCTTTCCACCTTGGATTGTCAAGTGCATCCTGTAATTTTTTAGGAATAGATAGAGACGACAACTGATGGGCAAAAGCCTTAAAGGATGGTGAGAGACGATGAGAAGACATAAACCTTGAAATGGGATATTTTATATTTTGACTGACAAGTACGATGTGATTTTCTCAAGGCAATAGGCAATTCTAAGTCATTAACAACATTAGAATCATCTAAAGCATTAGGATCTACATAACTATTATCAACAAAAGAGAATGGAGATTCAACAGATTACCTCAGGATTACCTATTGTCGGGGCAGACTGATCATTTTCCTTAAGAGGTACTTTTCTCTTCTTTGATATACCAGCTCAAATAGAGACATATGATGACCTTTTGGAGGGAGAGTCAAAGAACCGCCTTCTGCTTTTTAATTTTTTTCATTTTTTCCATTTTTTTCATTTGTCTCATTTCCACTCTCTAATTCAAACATAGCCACAATATAAAACTTTTCTTCACTACTCAACGTCTCCCCCAGAAGAGAAGGCATACAAGCAAGACTAGAAAAATAGGCTTGTTCCTTATGAAAAGTAACATCCATATAGACAAAGATTTGACAGAGGGTGATAACACTTGTAACCCTTCTAGGTAATAGAATAACCGAGAAAAATGCATTTGAGGGAAGGAGGGTCAAGCTTAC